GGGGTGAACATCAGGCCGTGTGATCAGTTCGTTTTCGCTGCCAGGATCCCTTATAATCGATTAGTGACGTCGGGAGCAAAGATGAGCAGGACATTTCTGTTCCTGATCTAAAAGATGATCCTCGTTTTCCCTGTGTCTGTCAGCCATGTGATCTGTCAAACCAGGAAACCCATTTTGTTCTCAAATTGATTAGTCTGCTGTCAGTGCAGTTGACCTGAGTTTTGAAGATGAAGGGCTGGTTCTGTGGTGGTCAAGTGTTGTTGAGTGAACCCTATCTTCTTTGACTTAAATGCTTCCCCGTCAGCCCTCACGTCATTTCTTAGTGCACCGAAAAACACATTTTTATTCCCTTATGTATTCACATCTATTAACAATATCTGCCCCTTTCCAATCTGATTACATTTACTTAATATATTTTTGCCTCCCCTCATTGGCCTGTTTTTTACTGCTCCCTCCCCCTTGTTTTCCAGCCGAGAATGTCACTGTGTTATGCATGCCTTCATCCCACGGTTGACAGTGAGATTGGTGGGCCTTCCAAGTATCTACCCTGTGCTCTTCAGGAGCAGATTCTTCTCTCTTTACCTTAAATTTTCTTCTCCATGGTCTCTCTGTAAACATCCTGCACACCTCAGCTGTAGTTAGTCACATAGTGTGTCTGTTACAGCTAATGACCAACATGAATCCAGGATCCAACTGTCCATCACCAAAAATCTTCCAAGTTTTTTTTTTTTTTTTGAAATTGAAAAGGTGCTGGTGTGGTCCAGATCCTAGTTTGAAAGACTCTAAATTTCCTCACACGGAAACTCTGTGGTTTGAATGTGTCACCCAAAATTCATGTGTTGGAAATGTGATCTCCAGTGTCAACCACCGTTGACAGGTGTTTAGGCAGGTGTTGGTTCATGAGCTCTCCACCCTCGTGGACAGAGTGACTTCATCATCATAAAAGGCTTGGGAGTGCACTGTAAGCCTGCACTGTAAGCCTGACCTCTCGTCCTTGCTGTGTGATGCCTTCTAGGGCTAAAGGTCCTTTTAGGTGGAGCCCTTGATCTCGGGCTTCTCATTCCGTGGAACCCCAGGATGTGAACGCTGGCTCTTTATCAATTATCCTGTCTTAGATATTCTGTTAGATCAGCACAAAATGGACTAAACTGTGAGATGGAAATATATGTATATAACAATATATTTACATATACATATATATGGAAATAGCCATTATACAATAAAAAGATGCCTTTATGAAGGAGTACCTCAGCTGTTGGAGTTTCGCAGACTTACGTCTTCTGATCTCATCTAGGACGTCTACTACACCACAGGGGCATTCAGCCAAATGTCCTTTTGAGATTTTGAACATGGTAGTGATCAGTGATTGTTCCAGATCTATAGTAATGCTATTACTAGAGAGGTTTTTATTTATTTATTTGATTTTTGTTTTCTAAGTCACTAGTATTGTTAGTTTTAGAAGAAACATCTTGTAGAAACTTCTCAGTGTTCTGGCAAAAAAAAAACCCCAAACAAATAGACAAACAAAAAAACAAACCAAAACTCTCCCTTCTTTGCTGAGGGTTTTCTTGGAGGGCAGGGTTAACTAGATTCATAGATGAATCCACAGTAACTTCTTTTACCGACATTTCCCTGGGTTTTATTTATTCTGGGATGGTGATATCCAATAGGCTTTTGTCTAACTGTATCTTTTGGAGCTCGTGTATTTAGTATACAACGATGAAGTGAGATGTCACCATCTACATCCTGAGGGTTTAAATTTTTTCTACTTCTGGGAAGTATGGAGTAGATACCACTTCTGTTAGTGGTTCTGAAATGACTGTGGACCATTCTTTAATAGAGATATCTTGGAAACAGTCTATAACACTGATCTCCTGGCTCAGCTACAACTGGCTTAACCAACATCGGATTCTTGACAGATTTCATTGTTGTCTTTACGTAGTGGAACAGGTGTGGTAAGGGGTGTAAATGACAGGACTTAGTAGTAACAGTACCCACGCTAGTTAACCTTCAAGCTACCCTTATCCCCTGCTCTTCACGCAGGTAAATTCCTTCAGCCTCTTTATCCTCACAAAGGAGCCCTAAGGAAGCTGAAGGGCAGCGAAGTTAGGTTCACCTCCCAGAGTCAGACAGCATCTCAGCCGAGATTTGCATTCTCAGGGGGGTGGGGGGCTCCAGAATGTGAGTTTTAATGAAACCCCTAGACTAGCTCTCAGTAAGAGAATTCACAGCAGCAGGTGGCAGAGAATTTAATGGATTTGTAACTAGTTCAACATCTATACCCAAAGGTGTACCTGGCTTATATAAACTCAGAGTGAAGCACCTTAATTTGTGATTCAGTTCAGTTACTTATGACCCGGTCGTTTAAATGTTTCATGTTATCCAACAAGTGTAGAATATGCATAGAAAAACACAAGCCGCATCAGTGTTGATCTGTTGGCCCCTACCACACTGAATGATGAGTCTCTAGAGGTGTAATACAGGACTCAAAACTTGTAATGTTCTCCAAATGCTCCTCCCCTGCAGCCCTGGTTAGAACCACAAGGTTAATTCAGCTCAGAGGAAATGAAGACGGAAGTGAAAATCCTCAACCTCAGTCTGAGAAGGCGAGCTGGCCTCCGGAATCTCAGGAGGAGACTGTGTCTGAGACCTATCTTGCTCCATTTTATATTCTTCTCTAGGGCTGGGATTAAAGGCATGCACCACATGATTTCTATGGCAACTAGTGTGGCTACTGGGATTAAAGGTGCGTGTCATTGTGGCTGCAGGGATTAAACATGTGTGCCATTGTGGCTACTGAGATTAAAGGTGCGTGTCATTGTGGCTGCTGGGACTAAAGGTATGTGTTACCATAACCTGGTCTATGAGGCTGACTAGTGGGACTGTTTTACTCCCAGATCTTTAAGTAGTCTTTATTTATTAAAATACGATTGAAATGCCACTATAGGAATATCGATGAAACATGAATCTGAGTGGGAAGTATGGAATGATTACCATTGGCCACTACAATGGTAGATGGTATAGTGGTTCGTCTTCGGCAGCTGGGCTAGATTTAGAATCGCATGGGAGATTGGAGAGGCACATCTCTGTGGGTGTTTGCACGGGGTTTTCAGAGAGCATTTACTGAGTGGGAAAGACTCGCCCTGAATGTGATCAGTCCCATCCTGTGAAAGAAGGGCATGGAGAGCAAAGAAGAGAGCTGGAGAAGGCTAGCCTGGAGTCGGCAGTCCTATCTCTCTGCTTCCTGTGTGGCCACGAGGTGAACAGCTCTCTCTGGCTCGGATTCCTGATACCATGTGTTCTCCTCAAACGCATGCAGCCAAGCAACCACGGAGCCTCTGAATCCTCTGAAATCATTGGTCAGTTTCTGCTTTGCGCTGTTTCTGTCACCAATCTGACAAAGGGATGCAAGAGGTAACTGCGACACTTGGTGTCTTCTGGGGCAGTCACAGAAAGGTTCGAGCGATGAAGCTTAAACCCTGCTCTTTGCTCAGCCGGGCAGAACATGGGAGCAGTCTGGGGAGAGGTGGAGGCTTCTCCTGATGTCTTAAGTATGGCCAGCACGACCAGCAGCGTGCCCTGAGTACTTGTTGAGAAGAAACAAGCAAGGGGCTGTTGAAACAGAAGCAGGCTGTGATTTAAATGGGACTAACAGTGGTTTAGGGGTTGGATGGATGGTAAACATCCATTCTCCACTGCAATGGTTACATGAGCATTACATGGTTACATGAGTTAAAAGAGTCACACTAAGTGGTCATGTGTTGGGTGTGCCAGTTCTTCTTCTAGAAGAGGCGTGGTTTGGGAAGGGTTTCTGAGGCATTCAGAATCCAGCCTCACCACGACTGAGCCTGCATGATCCCAGCTAGTGACGATTCTGTCTCCTCACCTGCAGAGCAAGGTAAGAACAGCGTATGACCATGGTAAAGGCTAAGTGAGAAGGGCAAGCTGGGGGAAAACGGGGAAGACAGTGCCGTCTGAAGATCTCTGTCAGTGCTTCAGAGATGCCAAGCGAGGCCTCTATGTCTAGATGTGCAGTAAGGGTTCGGTCAGCCCACTTGTTGGTGCTGGCAAATTTATCTTTCTTGTATTAAAGCTGTCTTGTAGTAAAAGGAAGGTCTCAAGATAAACCTGAAAGTGCTTAATGGTGGTGGGAGATGAGGGGTGGGGCTCAGCCGATGCAAGTTGGATGCAGGGGGATGTGACCCTTTGGGTGGTGGAGATCTCACAAAGTGTCTGTCTCAGTGGGGACAAGTTTCAGGGTGACCTATTGCTTGTAATTCATACCCAATGCTATTCCATGTGATCCCTGCCACGATCCTGAGACTGAGAAAATAGAGTCTGCTCATTGGCTCTCTACACTGATGACAAATGAGCGTAACCAAAGCAGTAGTGGTAGCACACACCTAGATGTGTGACAGCCCGACACACACACACACACACACACACACACACACACACTCACTCACTCGTGGCAGCGCCCATATGTCAATCACATCAGCTTCTTTAACTGAGTCTGGCTGCAGCAGCTTGGTCATCTACATAGGAAAGAGTAGACACCACAATCGCCAGACCAGTTTGAACTCAGACAAGGAATGAAAAGAGACTGTGATCAGTGTGTTTCTCTCATTCCATGGAAAAAAGTGTGAAGCCATTCCGGCTAGGAAGGCTGGGTTGGTTTAAAGCTGAAGGAGCAAGCTGACCAGTCAGTGATGTTAGTGTCACATTCTATCATGTCTGACTGGGAAAGGGGCTGCGTGTGCAGTGTAATTAACTCTCCTTGACATGCCTCACGCTAAAGGGCACACTTCCTTAGCATGGTGTAACAAATCCAGCACTTAGCAGGAATCACTGCGGATTAAAAGTTTAATGGATCTGTGATTTGGAGGAGGAACAAGGGCAGGAGAGGAAAGTCTGTACTTTGATTTGATTTGCTATTTAAAAGAAAACCTAAATAAAAAAACATCTGTAACATAATTGGAGGAAATACGGTCTCAGTTTTCTTTTAATCAAACTTGGAAATCTCCCTAAACAAGTATCAAAGTAGACAATTTGTAGATTGCTCTGCTTTCTCTCATTTCAATAATAGTAGATTATAAAGTATACAATAGTATACAAAATTTAATAAAATTATACAAACAATAGATTATAAACACTCATCTACTATACATTTACCAAATATAACCTGTAGTTGTAAGCCATATTGCTACGTAGGGTTTTATTGACCAAAGTATCATATTTGTCTTCCTTTCATCACATACATGTTTATAAAATAGTTTGTTTATAAAATAGCTTGTTTATAAAATATTTTGTTTATACAATATGTTTTTGAAACAGCTAACAACATATATTTAAGAACAAGCTGCTTGCCCATAATTAACTACTTCTGTGCTCAGGTAGTACACACATCCTATTCGTGTATTTACCACACTGCATTGTACAAGTGTGGAGAAAGCCCAACTGTGAGGGCCTGACTGTTTTGTTGACACGGGCAAGGTCTTACTAAGGCCTCAAACCGATCCATACAGGAATGGCAGAGCAGCCCCCTCCCCCAGGATAAGGCTCAGGCGGGGATGGCAGAGCCTTTCTCTGGTTCATGCGCGGTTGTTGATAGGGTGTGCGGAAAGTGCCCAACATAGCTTTCTCCCCTCCTCCCACATTCATGGCCTGAAGGCAGCTCCCCTACAGAGACAGCTCCTACCAAGATTAGCTAACTCTGTCTCCTTGATCCAAATGTACCCTAAACCCTGTTTGTTTACAATACCCCCCCCACACCATGTTCAACTGTACACAATAATCTTGCTGAGTTTACAGCATCGCGTGGTTTCTCCAGCGGAAACCTCAGTCCATCAAACCTCAGCGTTGTGTGTGTCTGTGCATCTGTCTGTCTCTTGTCTTCATCCCCGCACTGCACACCCAGGTCTTTCCCTGGGGACTGAGCAAAGGACTCGGAAGAGAAGAAGAGTGTGGACATTGGCTTCAGGGAATGCTCAGCGGTCCAAGGAGGGAAGGCGGCCTAGAGGAGTAGGTAAAAATTGTATGAAAATTCTTCTTATACAGGTGAAAAGAAGTAGGGGAAAGAAGGAAGTAGAGAGGAATAAAAGTGAGGATACAAAGACCAGAAGGAGCGTGATTCTAAGGCCTAATATAAAATACTGGGACAAGGTGGGCATAGTGCCACGCGCCTTTAATCCACCACTCGGGGAAACTGAGGCAGGAGTATCTCTGTGCATTTGAGACTAGGCAGGAGGACCTCTGTGAGTTTGAGACCAGCCTAGACTAAATAGAGAGACCCTGTATCAAAAGACAGGATGATGGGGGCAGGGGGGACAAGTAGACTCTAGAGACAGGCGGCCATAGGTTGGTGCTTTGGTAGTTCTTCCGGAAACCTCAGAAGTAGTGGGAGCATTGGAGTTTTCTAGGTTTGGAGCTGTCTTTGGGAGTGTGCCTTTAGTTTTCAAGGGAGCAGATGCTTAGTTTGTCTACTTTGGAAAGGATTAGGAGAGAAATTGAGTAGCAGAGATAGGCTGAGGTTTCTTCAGCCAAGAGCCCAGACCTCCTGATTCCAGGTTTCTGTCCCTATGTCACCTGTCATTTCTTCATTCCCTTGCCATCCCCAGTTAGGTCCACGTCCCTGGATCCATGTATGGATGTAGCACACCAAGCCTGTCCGCACTCTATGCGCTACCATACAGTTCATGAACTGTGCAAGGGGCTGGAGATTTAAACACACAAAGACGCACAGACAGAGACACAGGTCATCCTTGAACAGGAATATAAGCTCCAGGGGAGCTTATATAGGAATCTTTAACTGATAGCCATGTTCCAGCCAAGCGCACCAGAAACCACTCCCCTGCCATCAGGAACTCCTGAGGGTCTCGTGCTCAGAGCAGCTGCAAGCATTACAAGTTGTTTACCAGAAATTCAGGATCTGGGGGGGGGGGGTTCATAGCTCCCAACATATGGACCTGAAACTACATATTATGTTTAAAATCATCTGTCTCACATACATGTGAGTATCTTGGGATCAGTGTCTTGGTCCTTCAACTATGTGACCCTGACTGCAATACCTGGGCACAACAAGTGATTCATTCAGAACTCTAACTAGAGAATAAGGCACACCACATAGGATCTGTGAATGCTTCTGAGAGCTCAGTACATTGATAGTGTTGGTCTTAACCAGGCTCACTCTTCCCTGTGCATTTGTACCTGCATGTGCGCCTAGGTATATGGAGAGGTCAGAGGTCAGTGCTGCATGTCCTCCTTAATCATTCTCCACCTTAAAGTTTTGAGACAGGGCCTTTCGTTCAAAACCGGCATAAAACAACTTACCAATGAGGCTAGACTATCTGGCTGGCAAGCCTCCGGGGTCCTCCTGCTTCAGCCTCCCCAGTACTGGGTAACTGCATCCAGCTCTTACATGTGGTCTGGGGCTTGAACTCAGGTCATCGTATTTGTGTGGCTGGGACGTCACGGAACCTTCTCCCCAACACCAAGGCTCCCTTTTTCTAGTTACAGCCAGATACCATTTTTCTTAGTTTAAATATGAATAAGACCAAATAGTAAACAATTAGTGTGTGAACATAAGCACTCTATATATTGTTGATAGGGTTTAGATTGGTTCATGCATTGTAGGGTAATGTGACAATAACTATTAAAATTTAAACTGTGTGTATTTCACCACGGGGCATAGTCCATGTGCATGGTTTCGTATGCATCCAAAGGCATAAAACAAAAACTTTCCATTTTAGGTATGTATATAATACACATGTAGAATGTAGCTATAATATCATTTGTAATGGGAAATATATATGTGTGTGATTATATACACACACATATATAATACCGACATGGCTTGCCAAATTATCCTGAAGAAGAAATGAGCAAATGTCTATGCATTCCGGATGGGACACCGACAAGGAATCAAAGAAATAGCTTTGGAATTCAAGTCCAGCTTTGGAAGACAGTAAATTTATTGACCTCATTTACAGGAAAATGAGCGGCCACCAAACAGCCGCGCTCCCGAGAGGTCCTGACTAAGCCTGGGTGATGACCTCCCCAAAGCTGCCTACAGGGAGTCCTTTACCTAACCTGTCTTCTGGATACTCAATAATCTTCTGAGACGGTATGCAGGTGGTGCAGAATCGCACACAGCCCTGGGGGCAGAGGTGGTGGCAGTTCAGGAACTGGAAGAGGCTGGAAGCTCAGGTCTGTGATCCTCCTGTGAGGACACAGGGTGGATCTTGTGACTGTCTCCTGCTGGTAGCCCCAGCTGCTCCAAAGAAGATGGTTATGGTGCTGTCATGCCCAGAGGACAGCAGCCCACACATGGCCGATGAGGATAGGGGCAACTCTTGTTAGTGTGTGTGCTGGGGTAGCACTCCCTAATTTAAATCATAAGATACATCTGTAGAAACTGACGTGTAATAATGTATATAGTATAAGGGCAAAACAATCAAGATTTAGAACTAAATGTATATTGCTATATAAAAATTGTGTGTATTTGTATATAGGCAGGGGAAAGAAAGACGGAGAAGAAAAATATGGTGCGTTCTCAGACAGTGTGCAAATTAGACTAACTTTCAACTCTGTCAGTTTCACTGGGTGATACAGACTTTATATTTGTGCTTTCGGATGTTTAACATGGCAGTTGTTTGGGGGAGCGTAACACACAATGTTCACATAGAAAAGGATATGAAAGACACAGGGAGTGGAAGGGACACGAAAGCAATGCGATGTTATCAAAACCTCAGAAAAGCTTGTAGCATTGCCTCGTGATAACTATGGTCTTGAGCCGCGGTTAATATCTGAGGAGAAGACGCAGGACAAAAGCCATTCCACCCTGTAACTCGAAGTGCCAGCCCGCTCGCCTCTGCCCTCCCAAGTGTCTGTGCCTGAGAAGAGCCGGTATGGCCTAGCAGGTGCTGAACGGCCTGAGCAGGTGCTGAACTGTGCCCGTGTGAACCATTCTCCATATCTAGCCTTAGCCTGCGTGATGGTTTGTGTTTACCTCGGTGACTGCTGGGTCCTTCCACTTCAAGCATTCCTGAGTGTTCTGTCATCCACATGTCCTCTCCAGCAAACACTTGTTAGGTGGGCACCCAAAAGAGTGGGCCTCATGGGACCTAGGCTTTTTGGTGGAAATGAGACTTTCTGATGTACCCCATTGCTAGCCCCACTGCCATATAAAAAGAAGAGAGAAAGACAAAACCATATGAGAATAATAGTCCAGCATTCGTGAAATCTGCAGCCCTGACATTACTCAGCGCTCTACCGAGCTCACCAAGCTTATGGTGCACTATGGGCTTGTTGCTTATTCTTGGGCGGTTTGTGCTCAGACTCTTAAAATAGAACACTGTTTCATAACAATTGGTGATTTTACATGGAACGGTCACCCCAGAACTGACAACCTCAAGGAAGCCAACCTACACATGACCACAACCATACAATCTTATTTCTCAGTTTTTAAGTTTTGGAGTGCTTTGACTTGAACCCAGGGTCACGTGACTGCTAAACGGCCAGAGAGCTCCATCCATACACTCCCGCTGTGATCAGCTCTGTCAGGATCGCAGACGGGGATGTTCTGACCGAACCCTCAGTTTGTTCTAAGGCACCTTTGAGAACTGCTGCCTAAAGGGGTTTGCAATCTACAGGCAACGATAAGAGGCTTTGAAAGAACGTACCAGGTGATTAACAGTGAAAAGCTTATGGCAGGGTTTGGATTTCACTCTCAACCCCGACTCCTGTGAGCTGTGTGGCAGAGTCCAGTTGCGTCGGCGAGAAGGGTAAATTAAACCACCTCTGTCAGAAAGACTGATTCAATGCTAAAAACATGGAGCTGTGGGAAGGATAAAAGCGGTGCTGGATTCCTCTTCTGAACAAACTGGGCGCAGTACTAGCCAGTCCCAAACTGGAGGTCAGTGATTCTCAACCCCTTTGGAACGGAATGGCCCTTTCACAAGGGTCGCCTATCAGATATCCAGTATATCAGATACTTAGAGTCGTAACAGTAGCAAAATTAAAGTTATGAAGTTGCTCATATTCACAGAATGAAAATAATTCTCATAACACAAGGAACCATATTAAAGGGTCAAAGTATTAAGAAGGTTGACAACCACTGATATAGGTTGAAGGCAAATGTGTATACATTTAGATAAAGAAATGGATGTATTTCAGTCAAATAAATAAACCATTTCTAAAAGTTTAATTCATTTGAAGTATGGATTCTCATGTTTAAAGTAAAAAAGAAATCCCAGTAGGCTGTCTGGCTTTTGTTTCCTTGGGATGTGCTGGCCGTTATAGGAAATCAGTGTGCGGAGGGCATCGCTCAAACTCGCTCTCTGGATTTAAGCTTCTCCCCCAATCCGTACTCCTTGTCTCTGTATCATCACAACCGCTACTGCTTTCCACTAAACCTCCTGTGTATAGAGTCCTTCCCCAGTCCTCCACGTATTCATTTACATGACTATTCAGAACCTTCTATTAAGCATAAATTTTTTCTAATTACTTTCATATCAGTATAGAATTAATAGCCAACTTACAAACGAGCTCTGTTGCGAGAACTGATTTGCCAGTTCATTTGTGGTTTTGAAGCATCTTTCTTTTAGACTTAGAATTTTAAGTTAGGTTTGGGTGTCAGAGCCAGCTAAGTTCTAGCGGGGGCTGGTATCAGAGATATTAATGCATGAGTTCCACAGGAAAAATGGAATTTACCCGTGTAATAGAAAGGAGTGAGATAAAGGTTCCAGGGGGCAGGGCCTAGGAAACATGAGTAGGAACTGAAACGGACCTGGTGAGGTGAAGTCAGCGTTTACGACATCTTTCTACCATTGCGTGGCATGAAGTCTTGAGGGATAGAAGAATGAAGGGGGGGCTCTTGGTAGGTGGTGGTCATGTGATCTACCAGTAACATGGGGCACTTTTAGGAGTTATTAAATACTAAGCCAGGGTCCCAGGCATCAACTCAACACTGCCTGCTACTGGAATGTATGGCTGCTTGAGTAGGGGGTGCTGTGAATCTTAAGGTTTTCCCCTGTACGCGCATCAGGTAGATCTTTGATATCAAAGATCAAATAGAACTTTGGATGTTTTTAATTTAACAGCTTATAATGTAACAACTAAGACAGTCCTGCCCTTGGATCCCTTTGCTGCTTTGTCTCTGACCTTACTTAGAGCTAACAGTCACATGACCCTGATAGCCCTGCACTTAGGACATTGCAGAAAATGACTATTTCACACAAGCCAGTGCACCTCCAGTGTGGTCATGACCAGGTTTGCGCTGTCCTGGTGAAGACTGCGATTCCAAACCTGAGAACACAAGATCCGCCCCTTTGGTTTTCCACCTGAGAGACTTACATATGTTACAGACTCCATTTCTGCAAGTGTTTGGCACTTCTAAGATTCTGTTTCCTTGGAGTCTCCAGCGAGATTGGGTCCACCCCGAGCTGTTTCAATTGCATTTGATCACGAGGAAAGTTCTGTTGGTTGTCAGTGATGTTAGTATTGGCTTGATTAGTTCAGTTCTAGCTGTGTTGCCTGTTTTCCTGTTTGAGGTTTCTTTTTTTTTTTTCTTCATTAATGTCCTAGGAAATTAAACATTTCCTTTTGGGGTTTTTGGGAAATTTGAACTAAAAAAAAAGTGAATTTCCTCCATTTTTTCTTTATGAGTGTAGAGGAATATCTTCATTAGTTTTCTTTAATCCAGATTTGACTCCAGAGTAAAGGTCTCACATGGACTAGATTTTCCTTGAAGCCCTCCCTGCTTTCACTGTGCTTTGTTAGAGTGTCTTGTTTGCTACCCTAAATATAAACTAGAGGAGTCTTTTCAAAGCTGTTACTTTAGAAGTAGGATTGAAGGGCATTTTAAAAGACCTTGTGTTGCTGTAGTCTAAGAACTGCCTAACTTACCTCTTATCAAGAAGAATTTATAGCTGGGCTTTTAAATAGGGGTAATGTGGCTGTTTGGAGAGAATGTTTCCTTATTGATCTTCCTTCCTTCCTTCCTTCCTTCCTTCTTTCCTTTCTTCCTTCCTTCCTTTCTTCCTTCCTTCTATCTAACCTTCCTTCCTTTCCTCCTTCTCTCCCTTTCTTTCTTTCTTTCTTTCTTTCTTTCTTTCTTTCTTTCTTTCTTTCTTTCTTTCTTTCTTTCTTTCTTTCTTT